ATGGTGAAGGTGTTGAAAAATTCGACGCATATCTCTCTGTAAGTGTCATCTTCAAGATCAAGGGCTTGGCGCCATTGTGGGTGCACCACTGCCTCCCTCATAACGTCACCGCAATGAAGCCTGTCAAACTTCCCAAAGTCAAGTTTCCAATAGTTACCGACTCTCGAAGATACCCAAAAGTATGCCTCTCGCTCCATTTCAGGGCTGCTCCTTAGCGCCACAAGGTATGGGTGATCCATGTTAACCATCCTGCACAACTGAGAAACATACACCATACGTGGAAAAATTCGTCAAATAATGCTCATTGGGAGGAAAAGAAATTCCCCGCACACTTGATTTTCTACCATGGTTATCAAACATTTAAGCCCAAACCACTGTGGCATGGTTGTGGGTAATTCACGGTTCAAGCACACAAAAAGTTGAACCACAACCTTTACTATGGTGGCTACCATCCACCAAACAAGAATAAACTCCACTTGCATTCATAACATAGCACTTGGTGGACAAATTCTAAAAATAAACACAATTTGATTCAAACACACCCACCAAGGCTCACTAAGCTCATGCAAAAATCAATTCATCATTCAATCGACTTAATTCACCTAATTCCTCGCCCTAATTCAGGATAGGGTAGAGCACTGGGGCATATCTGAAAAGTGGCATAGAGGATTGAGCTGTAACTTGACGAGCACTGAAACGACTACCTAAGCTCGAACATTTACACGGGCAATATGAGCTTTGAATCAAGGGGAAGGCTGGGTTGTGGCCCAGGGGCGCCCCCTCGATCCGCCGCTGCTGTGCGCTCATTGTGTGCGGCGGAGACAAAAGGAAAAAAAGGTTAGTGTTTTATGCATTTAGGAACCATCTGATACCATATTGGGAAATCAAAATAGGGTAAAAATTCTTGTGTATTATTATTGAAATCACATTGGGTTTGTATAGAGTATAGAAACTGACTTTTATAATAACCTCAACACTAATGAAAAAATTACCTAACTGCTACTACTCTAATAAGAAATGTAACTATGTCGAATTACATAATAGTACTCGTAGTATAACGTAATACTACTTGTATTACACATACTCTAATACACCTGATTCGGGTACAAATGCACACATTTTACCCCTCATTTCTTGTCTGTTTTGTTTAGTAGATCAACGTCCCTCGACCTATTTTATGCTAGGTTGTGTTTAGTTTGTTACAATTCAGGTCCTAGTACGTATGGGAAGGTCGAGACGAGTTTTGGGTCAATTGGAGGTCGAAAAGCGCAAAAAGGTGAAAAAATGCCCCAAGTTCCCCGGGACCGTGAACTGGCCAGGTTCCAGAGCGTTTCTACAAGTTACTGGCACCAAGTCAGTTTACGGTCGTAAGACCGTGAACTTCAGCTCCAGATCGTAAAGTGTTGTAGTGAAATGGCGCGTTACTGACCGAGATCACGGTCCAGATCGTGAACTCATACCGTGAACAACCTTCTATCTAGGTATAAAAGGCAGCAGGCGAAGGAAGAAAATGGAGAGTTGGTTTTTGGAGAAGGATTCGATTCTCTCACTAGGGTTTCAACCCAAAACACCATAGGGGAGTTCTAGTAAGAGAGAGAGAGAGAGAGAGAGTGTGTTTGAGTGATCTCGGAACCTACGATATAGGGTTGCCCTAGGTTGAATAGAGCCTAGCACATTCATCGATTTGCCGTTACTGGTCATTCCCGAGGGATCCATCTCCTAACGGTATAGTAATTGAGTCAATCGAGCTTTTGACGTAGGAGGGAAACAACTCCTCACCCCATATGGTCTGGGTAATCCCTGAGGGAGGTGATTGGATCTAGCTCCTATGATATAGGGGGTGCCCTAGGTTGAACAAAGCTCCTACCCATCCATCACTTCACTATTCTAGGTCCGTCCCGGTGGAGTTCGTCTCCTAACGATAGGATAGTGGGTCGATCTAGCTAGGATGGTATTCAACATCGATCATATGACGGAGCTTGGAGGATTCAAACCAAGGGAACTCGCTACGTTGTAAATAGCTAGGATTAGTGGTTAGTCTAGGTTAGTTAGTTTAGTTGTATTAATCACTATCCTAGGTTGGCTAGATAACGAACCCTAAACCTGAAGTAGGGTAAGTCTAGATCCCCGTGGTAGGATAAATTCTTATTGCTTGCTTGCCCTATGCTACACCCGGTCGACGGTTATACTTGGCCGTCGATCAGGATGTTGTAGTTAAAACGAGTCAACAATGCTAACACCGTCAACACTGCCGCCACCGCCATCGTCTTTGCCGAGCCAGGCGTCTAGCCGTCCTTCGTTCCGTCTCAATCCTACGGCTCATAGAACTTTGCCTATGATATGGCCCGAAAGAGCCACAACTAACATTCAATCTCCTTCGTGAGACAGAACGTGCACTCGATTTTAGATATGGTTAAATTATGAAGTCAACAATTAAACAATCATTCTTAATTCGGTTCAAAGTATCTAATCCAAAAACATCCATTAGTCCATAAAATAGAGTACAATATTTTCCAAATCATTACCCTTTGACTCTAATGCTTCTACTAAGTAATTAAAAACTAACATAATTTTCTAAACCAAGGGGGAAAGTTAAGAGAGAATTCAGGGAAATGAATTACGTTTTGATTTTGATGGCCACTCAATTGCATTTCTACAATTTATTTTTTTGAATTACACTTACTATCATTGATTTGTTACAATTTGATCATTGAATGCTCTTCATGAGACAGATATAGGCATGGGTATGGGGCGGGCAAGGCAAAAACTATACCCGACCCTAACCCATCAAACATTTTGCGAGTTTTACCCATACTCGTCCAATAGTCAATCAATGCGGTGATTCCCCGCATTGACGGAGTCAGGGGCGGTTGGGTAACCGTGGCCATGAGTTTGATTGCCATCCCCAATGATATGACATTGATAAGATGTTGCTATGAGTTATTATGTGTGACATCATTGTGTAGATTTTAATTAATGTATTCTTTCTATACAATTTCTTTTAAATTTTGAGTCAAAATGAAGAAGATGAGTCATAATACCACTGTCATATCATGATGATATGATAGATATGATATTGAACAATGGTTCAAACGACACATGTTTTGACAAAATTATTTTTCCTATGCTCAAAATATAGAAAAATTGATATGATTGTGTAGTCGATAATTAATACGTTCTTTCTATGCTAAATTTTTTAATTTGGTCTAAAACTAATTCTATAGGTAGGATTCAATTAAGAAAAATAGTAAAACTGAAGGAACAGGAGTTGAGTGTTGCTCAAGCTAGTGCGCTTCAGAGCCCCTCAACAGAAACATTCCTGGAAGAAGCTCGGTTATCTGCAGAAGTCAAAATATTAAGGGAAGCCGAGGAATCCTTTTTGAGGCAGAAATCTAGGGAAGTTTGGTTGAAGGTTGGAGACTCCAACTCAGGGTATTTTCACCGTTCAGTAAAAATCAGAAATATAAGAAACATGATTAGATCTCTGATTAATGATGAAGGAGTTCGAATCACAGATACAAATGGTATCTGCAACATTGCTGAGTTATTTTATAAAAGGTTGCTGGGGCAGAAGGATTCAGAGGTAGAGGCAAGCAGTATTGAGGAAATGCAAAATCTCCTGCAATTTAAGGTTGATGAGGCGCAACAAGCTGCTTTAGTTCGTCCTATCTCAGAGGATGAAGTTAAAAATACCCTATTTGGTCTTAAATGGGATAAAAGCCTAGGGCCTGATGGATTTCCAGCTTGTTTTTTTCAAACAGCATGGCATATTGTTGGCTCTGATATCATTTCTGCGGTACAACATTGTCTTCTTGTCTGCTCTCTTCCTTCAAGTATTAATTCTACTCTCTTAGCATTGATACCTAAGGTTCAGAACCCTGAGGAGATTAAGTTTTTTAGGCCCATATCTTGCTGTAATACACTTTATAAGTGTGTTGCAAAAATTCTAGCTACTAGACTTAGCACAGTATTGCCTTCCATCATTAGCCATAATCAAACTGCATTCATTAAAGGGCGAGTAATTGGAAGGAACATTCTCTTAGCTCATGAGTTGGTCCAGAAGTATAATAGGAATGATATATCCCAAAGAAGTATTGTTAAAGTTGATATTATGAAGGCCTTCGATTCAGTGGATTAGGATTTCTTAATCACTGTATTAAGAGCAATGAACTTCCCGGATCTCTTTGTGAGGTGGATTGTCATGTGTGTGACTACACCAAAGTTAAGTGTGGGGTTTAATGGTGGTATAGTGGGGTATTTCTCAGCTCGAAAAGGCTTGAGGCAAGGGGATCCTCTGTCCCCTTACCTTTTTGCCATATCAATGGAAATTCTATCTTGCTTAATGGGCGAAACAGTTAGGGAGGGACAAATGCCATTCCATCCTATGTGCAAGAGGTTGGGTTTAACTCATTTAATGTTTGCAGACGATTTGCTTTTGTTCTCTGATGGTTCTGATAGCAACCTGTTGCTATCGGGTTAGGGTTTGCTTGTAACTCACAAGCGAGAGTACGACGTAAAGTGTCGAACGACTGTTTTAGGTTTATTATTGATTGATTCCCGGACTAATGCCGTAGTTACATTTTTATATAGGTCACTAAACCTAATACTTAACCCTAAACCTACCCGCTCAACTACGTACGACTCCAACTTGGCATCCAACTCTAATGCATACTCGGCCCATGCACATAGACTAATAACCTACCTACTAACCCTAAGCAATTAGACCCATAATTAACCCTAACACATTACCGTACTAACCAAAAGCCCAAACCACTATCCTAGGTTTGGGCTTTTGGTTAGTACGGTAATGTGTTAGGGTTAATTATGGGTCTAATTGCTTAGGGTTAGTAGGTAGGTTATTAGTCTATGTGCATGGGCCGAGTATGCATTAGAGTTGGATGCCAAGTTGGAGTCGTACGTAGTTGAGCGGGTAGGTTTAGGGTTAAGTATTAGGTTTAGTGACCTATATAAAAATGTAACTACGGCATTAGTCCGGGAATCAATCAATAATAAACCTAAAACAGTCGTTCGACACTTTACGTCGTACTCTCGCTTGTGAGTTACAAGCAAACCCTAACCCGATAGCAACAGGTTGCTATCAATTGGTATCAGAGCATGTCTTTCGATCTCACCACGTGCTGCGCGGCAGCGCAACGTACCGCCAGGGCCTGTTACGCGCTGGGTGAGCGTATGGGTGCTTTGGAGCAACTGCTGGCGGGGTTTATCCCCGAACGCGTGACCGTCATCGACGGGAAGCGAAGCGACGACGACGTGGCCCGCGTCGACGCCAATGAAGTCAGGGCGGCGGAGAAGATGAAGATCTCCGTCAACGAGATCGACGGGAAGGAAACAGTGCGCAAAGGTGGCTCTCGCCTATGCGAGGCTCTCACCCAACGATCTGAAAGCGATAGGAAGGAAACAGTGCGTCGCGGTGGTTACCACCTCGACGAGACTCTCACCTATCGATTCCGAGGCTGCGAGAAGGAGGAGTTCGTCGTTGGCGTTCAGCTCAAGAAAGCGTTCACGGTTGGAGTACAAACCGTGAAAGACGAAGCGACTATTGGCAGCATGGAAGTTTTGGTGCCGCGCGAAGGGGTGCCATTCAAAATTGAGTCACCACCACTCGATTTGCTGGTTGGGGATGGAAATTGTGAGAAAGGGACAACCAAGGAAGGGGGGGGTTCTGTTGGGAAAATTTATCCTCCAATAATTGGAGGGCATGCTCTTCCTTTGGACCAAGACGAGGATGATTGTGATGGGCTTCTGTTTTCAAGGTCTTGGCCACTCAAGAGAGGAGAAGCAATCGTCCTGGACAATGATGCCCAAGCTGCGTGGCCGCGAGTTCCGGCCAAGGTGAGGAAGAGGAATAGAGGTCGGACAAGGAGCTGGAAGTTTCGAAAGCATCCTAAGACTCAACGTCGTCGCAAGCGTTGCGGTTGCTTTCGTCGCCGACCGCCGCGTCTCGGCATGGACCGAACCTTGGAGACCAAGGTTCTTTGAGGGGGAAGGAATGATAGGATAGTGGTTTGGGCTTTTGGTTAGTACGGTAATGTGTTAGGGTTAATTATGGGTCTAATTGCTTAGGGTTAGTAGGTAGGTTATTAGTCTATGTGCATGGGCCGAGTATGCATTAGAGTTGGATGCCAAGTTGGAGTCGTACGTAGTTGAGCGGGTAGGTTTAGGGTTAAGTATTAGGTTTAGTGACCTATATAAAAATGTAACTACGGCATTAGTCCGGGAATCAATCAATAATAAACCTAAAACAGTCGTTCGACACTTTACGTCGTACTCTCGCTTGTGAGTTACAAGCAAACCCTAACCCGATAGCAACAGGTTGCTATCAGGTTCAAACTATGGTATTCAATGTGTTCAGAGAGTGTTGGGGGAGTTTAGAAGAATTTCTGGTCTAAAATCAAATCCTGAGAAATGTGAATTATTTTGTGGTGGTATTCCTATTGAATGGCAAAAACAGATGGCTTAGAGGGCAGGATATAAACTGGGTTCACTTCCAATCAGATATCTGGGATTCCTCTAATTCCTGGCAAGTTATCAATCGAAGCATGTAAGCCTCTGTTAGATAAAATAACTGGCAGAATTCATAGTTGGAAAACAAAGTTCCTTAGCTATGCAGGGCGTTTACAGCTTGTGGTTTCTATTCTTGCTAATTTGACACAGTTATGGATAACAGTTTTTATTTTGCCAAAAAGGATTATTAAGGAGATTGAAAAGCTCTGTAGTGATTTCTTATGGGGAGTTGGTGCTGATGGTAAAAAAAGGGCAACTGCAGCTTGGCAATTCTTAGCTCTCCCTAAGAAGGAAGGTGGATTGGGAATAAGGGACCTTGTGCGCTGGAATTTTTCGTGTGTGATTAGACATATTTAGCTAATCCTTTTGCAGGAGGGGTCTCTGTGGGTGGCATGGCTGAAGGAATACAGGCTTCGGAACCAAGATTTTTGGACTTGTCAATCCAAAACTGGTTCTTGGATTTGGTTAAAGCTGTTGAAAAGATTTGCCAGCAGATGTCTATGGTGAATGGTGATGTTTTTTGGAATATAATGGAAAAGTAATGAAGAAGTATTGTATTAAATTGATATGGGAGTCTTTCCGGCCAAAGGAAGCACCTGTTCCCTGGTGTTATCTAATCTGGAAAGGTCCATCTCCTCCAAGGGATAAATTCCTTGTTTGGTTGGTAGTAAAGAATTATATCACAACCTGTGATAAGGTTGCAAGCTGGGGAGGCAGGGGCCTTTCTCATGTGTGTTCTGTTCTTGTTCATTAGAGACAAGAGCTCATCTTTTTGGTGGGTGTATTGTGTTTAAGGAGTTGTTTGCAGGTTTATTGGCTAAAGCTTTTTCTAGAACTCCATCTGATGATTGGGATGCAGAACTGCAGTGGGCCTCAACTCACTTAAAAGGGGAGCAGCTGAGAAGCCAGGTTGCTAAGGCGGTTTGAGGGCAATGATCAGTACTATTTGGCGTGAAAGATGTTTACTGAAGCATGGAAGGTCCAAGAAAACCCATCAGGAGATGATTGTTCGCATTAATCAGGATATTGCAATGATTTTCCAAGCAGAAAATTTGGCTAGTTTTGGGATTGTTAGCTTTGCCTCTTGGTTCAATTTATAGGTTTCCTTTGTTATGGAATAGGGAGTTAAGTTTGCGTATAGAAATCTGTTTAGTGACTTAGTTGGCAGGGTTGTTGCCAAAGGTTTTGAGATCTTTTTGATTTGATAAAAGCTAACTAATTCATCAGGAAAAAAATAAGAAAAATAGGAAATTTAAAAATCTTATTCTCTCTCCTCATGGATCTTTGTTAGATTGTAAGATTAAAAAGGCAGGGGGTTGCGGAATTACCAGTCCGCTCTATAGGTGTCAATCGGGCGGGTTCGGGTTGGGTTTAATCGGGTTACTGGTTAGTCGGTTTTCGGGTTTATCGGGTTACGGGTCCATCAGGTTATGGATCCATCGGGTTGCGGGTTCATCGGGTTGAGGCCAATCGGGTTCCGGGTCATCGGGTTACAGGTCGGGCGGGTTGCGAACGGATCGGGTTGCGGGTTGTTCGGGTTCACGCACTGTGTTACTTACTCGTTACAGTTTACACATTATTTTTGCACTAATTTCAAACATTTTTTTGACATATTTTAGAGAACTTCTCTCTACCTTGTATAATTACTTATACAAGTTAAAGAAACTTATCAATGTGTTGAATTAATTTTGTATTTTTTAGATGATTGAGTTATTGTAATAGCATGATTTAAAATTTTTCCCTGTGAATAATCGTAGTTGGTAAAGTACATTAGTTACTAGTTATGATAACATCTCTATCCAATAGTCCTATTACAACCACCAATTAAAAGGTGTACCTTAATACAAACAAGTAAATCTCATATTTGGTTTAAAACAAAAACATAGAAGAACTAACTCCACAAACATTAAAGTGACGTAATGAAGTGGTGTTTACTATTTAGCATGCATAAATTGAAGATATGACACACAATTCATATATACAATGAATATTTGAAATGGTACTTAGTAAGTGATTCATATTTGATTGGTGATATCTATTTTATGTGTATTTGGCATGCATAAATTTAAGAGATGACACAAAATTAATATATGCAATGAATATTTAGTCAGGAGATCTTATTTACAGGAAATTTCTCTATACTAAAATGTATACTAATAATTATGAAACAAATTATTTTAATTGATTGTATAGTTCTAATTACGAAAATTAATTTAACAACTTTTTAGTCTTCATTTGTCGTAACTAATTGTTACACATATTAACTACCGTGAACGATGTGACAATTGGTCTTTCTAAATTTGAGATAAAAATCATAATGAATTAAAAAAAAAAGATTGGACCATAAAACAATTAACGGTTCCATTATGTTCTAAAAGGCAAATTTGAATAGAAGAAAATATGCATCCCTAATAAATCATAGATACAGATTTGCGATGAACCAAAAAAATAAAGAACACCTTTAAATGTATTATTATTAATTTGGGGCTCGTTAAATTTGCTTTCCCATAAATTCTAACAAGCAATCTCCCACATCACAATTATAAATTTCCACTACCGAAAATTTTGACTCCAAAATCTAAAATTTTACCTCCAACAAATCCTAAAATTTTTGCTCCCCGGCCCCCGCTATTTCTTCCCCACTCTCTTCGTTCCCATTTCCCCATGAAAAAGCTCTCATCGTTTTCATATAAATCTCCCGCATCACAATTGTAAATTTCCACTACCGAAAATTTTGGCTCCAAAATCTAAAATTTTACCTCCAACAAATCCTACAATTTTGGCTCCCCGGCCCCCGCTATTTCTTCCCCGCTCTCTTCGTTCCCATTTCCCCATGAAAAAGCTCTCATCGTTTTCATATGTTTGTTCTTTAATCTTTATCATAACCATCCCAATCTCTTCTCATATTGTCACAATTAATCCATGCCATGAAATTCTAATATATTTGTAGATAATTTGCAACAATAATCATTTAACCAATTAGAATTCTAAGTTTTTAATACGAGAAAAATTCATGTGAATAAGTTTATGATCTATAATATAAAATAGCTTGAGATAGTTGAGTCACATTATTGAGATAAGATCACTCATAATAATGTTTATCAAAGCAGTCAAAATCGGGAAATATGAGAAGATCAACTCCCACCTCTTTCTCCTCTTGATAGATCAACTCAAAAGCACCAAAACTACCCCTTATTTCTTTTTCCAAAACATAAAGCACCAAATTCCCTCTTCTTTTCTTAAAAGTTGAAAACACCAAAAATTTTAACTTATTTCTTTTCCTATAAAACAAAGCACCAAAACTTCACCTTGTTTCTATTCCCAAAAATTTAAGCACCAAATTTCCCTCTTCTTTTTATTCACAAAAAGTTGAAAACACAAAAATTTCTCACTTCTTTATCTTTTCACAAATCAAAAGCACCAAACCCCTCCTTCTTTATTTTATTAAAATACATAATTTCAACTCAATTTCATTTTTCGAACTTTCTTAACAAAATGAAAAAATAGTTTTACTTAGACTTAGAGCAAAAAAAATTTATTTTGAAAGACTATATAATATATATAATATAGTAACTATTTGGGTCAGTCGGGCGGGTTCGGGTTAGTCAGGTTAGGGTCAATCGAGTTACGGGTTAGTCGGGTTCGGGTTCAATCGAGTTGCGGGTCAATCGGGTTCGGGTTTAATCGGGTTGCGGGCCAGTCGATTTGCGGGTTGATCGGGTTGCGGGTCAATTAGGTTGCGGGTCGGGCGGGTTACGGGTCATTGACTTTTAGTCAGTTTGGGTTGTAGTCGGGTTGTGGATCGGGTTGAATGGACGGGTTACTCGGGTCGGGTTCTATTTTGACACCTATAGTCCGCTCCTCCTACCTTTTCTTTTGTTGCAAATTGATTTTGGCTATTAGATGAGGAATGAGATAGAAGTATGACTGGTGGAGTTCTGCAGTGGTTTTGCAGGATACAGTTTTGAACACTATACTTACCGTTATAGTAAGGCTTGGGTTAGGGACTTAGGGCTGCAAACGAGTCGAGTCGAGTTTTTGCTCAGTTTAACCTCGGCTCGTTTATAAATTTTCAGCTCGAGCTCGGCTCGAACTCGAATTTTGACCATCCAGCTTGAGTTCGAGTTCGAGCTCGACTCGATTAAAAATAATCCAGCTCGAGCTCGGCTCGATAGAGCTCGATAAATGCTCATTAACACAGCTTGTCAAGCTGAGTACAAGCTCGGCTCAAGATGAGCTCGATTAACAATAAATGCTCATTAACACAGCTTGTCAAGCTGAGTGCCATTCTTTGCTGAAAAATGTGTACAAATAAGAATATTAGAAACTAAAAATGATAAAAATAACACTAGAAACTAAAAATAACATCTAACTTCCATACACATCCTTATTAATATGATAATTTTATGTTCAAAAGAGTAATTAATCCTTCCACAAGCTCTAAACAAGCCAGCTCGCGAGTTTAGCTCAACAAGCCACCGAGTCAAGCTAGCTCACGAGCTTATCAAGCTGAGCATGTTCTAGCTCAAACTTGGCTCGTTTACTAACGAGTCGGCTTGTTAAACAATGAGTCGAGTGTCGAACGAATTTTTTTTTATTCGAACGCCGAGTTGCTCGCGAGCGGCTTGGCTCATTTGCAGCCCTAATTAAGTTACATAACCAATAGTCCTACAAAACCCTAATGAATTGCCCAGCTTGAGATATAATAGATTCAATGGCCAAAATTAATGGAGAGTAACGAGAGACAGGGTTACCGCCTACCGGATTATGGGGCTAGCGGGGATTCCCAGGCTGGTTTTGAGCCCTTTCTTTTAAATATCCTGAGAAAATTCAAAGAATCCTCATTCGTTTTATATTTGGCAAGAAAGGCACGATCTTTGGGAGAAAACGAGTTATAGGAAACCCTTCCATAGGATTTTTCTGCTCGTCCTAAGAGCTCCAGCTATGCGGGTATTCTTTTTCCTCCTCTAGGGCTTCCATGGATGCTCATTCATTTTAGTGGCCTCGGTCATTTGGTCGGAGAAAAGTGAGGTATGAAATTTGATAATATAATAGGGTGTATAGCTTATTGTTGTATAGTTTTTTTTTTTGGAAACCCGTGATAAAAATAGTGAATTTTAGTAGGAAAGAGACATGAATGATGCAACGAATCAAAAATTAGCCTTATGAACCAAAATCAAGTACCTTTTACTTTGTGCAACAATATTATTTCTGGTAATATGATAAGGTGGAGTAAGTTTTATAGAAACCGAATTCCAGAAAATCGAATAAAAAAATGCATATCCCGCCGGTTTTCGGGAAATGAGCATCTCACAATCGTTGCTAGCTTTTACTCGGCCCGTTGGGCGATTAATTTGCTTTATAAAACTTTCATCTTGTCATCATTGTGCTTTCTGGTTTTCTGCCAAGCCATGATAAAATTTAAAGAAATCAAGAATGAACAACACGATTTGGGATAGGAACCACCGTTCCTGTATCCCTAGAAAATGGTGGTAAACACGGACTCACCTGCCAAACTGGTTTGGATTGAGTTTTGTATCGGGTATCAGGGAACCATGTGATTATAAATTAGACTTGATCAAAACGGGCCAAAACTTGAAATTCAGCCTGTTTGACCGACCCATGCCAAACTCTAATTATTCTTTACTTTTAAACTTTCTATTTGAAAATAAAAAATAATGAAAGAAAAGATATGACTGCAATTCGCCATTTGCACATCATGATTCGGGAATAAAAATATAGAATTTTGAAAGGAAACTGAAAAGGTTTAGGATCGTTTTTTCCACAAAAAAAAAAAGGTTTAGGATCTTTTTAATGTTAAAAATAACTAATAGATCTTTCTGTTTACTTTCTTACTAACAAATACCAAATGATTCCCTATAATATACACTATAATTTAATCATTATGATATCAAATAATTACAAAATATATATTTGAAATTATAAAAATTGGACTAATTTGGTTGGTCGAGGTTGAACAATTGAATAACTTTAAAATACATTATATTTTAGCCACTAAGATATAAAATAATAACATAATATATATTATGCTAGAGAAAATAGCTTGTTTTAGAATGGCAAACCCATGATGTTCATTTGTTTTACTTGATGGGCAAATCCCGTGTAGGTCTGGCCCATTCAACAATTTTATTTTATGATTAGCGGTTAGCCCATTAGAATCCATGTATTAGTTTATTGTTAAATTTTTTTATTTTTAGCAATAAAAAGGAGTATTGTTTTTGCATTTTCATATATATTTTACCACCACGGAGAAATAAAAGGACTTAAAGAAAAAAATAGACACTCCTGGACCCGTTTCAATCCGCATGTGTACGGTAAGTTGGCCCGTTCCACAGAGGGAAAAGAAAAAAATTGACACTCCCTATTCAACCATTCCTACAAACGCTCTTGGGGCAGGGAATTTGAAATGGGGGAAGAGTTTTTTCCTCTCTGCGATTATATGTTTTTAATTTAAAAAGATACAACAAATATACTTAGTGTGATTGGTTATGATCTTTGCTTTTCTTTAAAGTGGTCATGGTTCGAATCCTAGTAAGTCTCTTTTTAATGAATAAAAAAAATTAATTGTGAAGAACAAAATGTCCTTCCTACTTTCACTCTGGATGCAAGAAATTTGAAATGGGGCTTCAAGTTTTCTCATTTGGCTTTTATTTATTGTGTAGATTTCACAATTTTTTGTGCACTACAAGATGATTTTCATTTAATTTTTTTTTTGGAGCAAATTTTTTTCAGGTCATCATATCACTGTCATATCATGATATTACTACTGACAAAGTGTTGATATGATCCCAAATTGCTTGCCCTTGAAGCTTCCATGGATTGAACAAAAGGCAAGGTCATTAAGTCATAAAGAGTCACAAAATTTGCCAAGTGTTTTTGTTGTTGCGGGATACCCATTTTGGAGGCTCGGATCTTCCAAGTCATGTAATGAAAATGGGAGTTTGATGGCTTATTTTGAAGATAAGAACTTTATCTACATGGTGGAGTGAGTGGGTGATCAAGGATAAGCCCAGAAGGCTAGTTTTGGAGCTCACCAACTTGCTAACCCAAAACCGAGAAACTGGTTGTTTTTGGCTAAGGCAAAACACGAGTTCGAGGTGCTGACTTTGAGGCTTCATATTTGGAGTTTGGGGCAGAACCAGGAGGTGATTCAAGTTGGAAGATAGAGTGAAAATTTCTAAACCCAAAACGGGCCTTGGTTGATCTCGACTTGGTTGGGAAAGCGAGGATCGAAAGGCTCAAAGAAGCCACCTCGCACTGCCAGTAGTCCGAGTCCTATGAGGATTCCTAGTTCAATTCGGATTATAATTATAATTCACTTTCTATGTTTAGTTAGGTTATGATGTTGGTATGAGTTCTAATGTTTGATGTTGGTATGAGTTCTTATATTTGCCAAAAAATAATAGGAAGGCACAAAAAGTAACAAATAAAAGATTAACCTCATTATTCAAATTATTGACTATTTCAAACAAATATCGTATCAGTGTCATATCATGAATGATGTTGGCATGTGATCTTACGTCATAACAAAATGAATATTATTATGTGGATATTAATTAATGATGGAGATATGACACTGATAAGATGTTGGTATGGGTTGTCGAAAGCTTAATTAGTGCCCTCAAGAACACATCAGTGGAAATTTTAGAGAGGAACTACAATCACTGTGTAGGACTTCTCCACTAAAGCTCAAATAGTAATTCTTGCAAAACCCAATTTAGTGCAATAAAAATATGTCTTACACATTGGGATTACCCCAAAATTTATTCTTCACATAGCATGTGATAGGTTTTGAATTTATAAGGTCGAAACACACTCTAGTCTATCCTAACAAAGCCAAGTATAACTATGCTAGGGATGTAGTAAAGTGACTCGGTCGTATTCCATGGGAACCTTAAGCTGACTTAACTTCGCCCTGAATTACTTTGTAATTCTGTTATCCCAGTACAGGCAAGCACTATCAAATGCAAAGTGTCTTAGTCCAAAGATCGAGTACATATAGTTCAAAATTCGAGGACGAAATTTTTATAAGTACGGAAGAAATGTAAGATCCAAAATTTCTGGTTTGGATTCGACCGGTAATTGAATCGGTTCGAGCTGAAAGAAAATTGTTTTAATTAAATATATTTTATTTCGTAAGGGATAAATAGGTATTAGTTAAAATAAAAGAAAAGAAAAAAGATGATTAAATCCCCACCAGTTACTCCCCCACCAACGTAACGGGAACGGATCAGGTCAGTAAACTTATGGTGAGTAACTATGAGTAACCCGTCCTCGTCAGCATAACATCAGCATCCCTCTCTCCTGGAAAGCCTTTAATTTTTCCCTCCTTAATCTTTGACGGACGATTTCTCACTCGTTTTAAGTCGAAATTTAATTTTTTTTGCACGGTTAGATCAGATTAATTGTGCTATTCAAAATGATATTGTGTGGTATTTTTTGGTCCTGTAATTTGTTCACCCAGAAATTTGTAGATCCAATAGATCGTGATGAACTCGTCCTTCTGTGCCAACGTTTTCAAAAATGCATTAAAAACGAAGAATATACCATATGGTATGCAGTTGGTACCGAGAGGCAAGATATTTTTTTTCTCAAAAAATATTGAAAATGGATCTCATGTTGTAGAGCACAATGAACTCGTTCCATCTGTGCAAAAAAAAAATTTAAATCCGAGTTGAAACGAAGAAGATATGAGTCGATTAAGAAATCTAGGGAAAATAAAAATAGTCTCCAATTCTCTATCCTTAGATCTGAATTTTCTAAATGAAGAGTCCAGATTTAATTATTGATGAATGCATGGGATGGGATTACCGCTCAAAATAGGATGCATAACCCGTAACCCCACCCCACCCCAATTAATCTCATTAAAATCCCTTCCTCTTTAACCATAATTAGAAATTAGCATACCCATATTAATCTTAATCTCCCCACCTCCGTTAGTAGAAGAAATTAAGAGAAAAAAGGGAGAAGAAGGAACGTCCCTCCTCCACCTGCACGACCCAGCTTTTTCGCCTCTCGTACCTCTCTCGACCCAACAGAAAGGTGTAACGGAAGCAGCAGGCAGCCGGCGACGGAAGCAGGATAGAAGCGCTACCGCCGATCTCGCCCTCTCCGTGCCTCGTCACCACAAGCAGTGCACCAGTCGGCATCGACCCTTCCCGGCACACTTACCGGAAAAGAAAATTCAGAAAAATAAAATTCGACCGTTCTTTGAAAGATGGGTATGGTTGCAACGAAGACGATCTAGCCCTTTTAACTAATCAACTAAGGGTTGGAAGACCCAACCCTTAGAGTTAATTCGAACGGCGGAGAACGACCAACCATGATGGGATCATGGTACTACTCCGATACTTGAGGTTTTGGTCCTACATTAACCCAAAAGGGGTTACCCAAGTGGCTAGAAGATCAAGATCCCTATGGAGCAAAGGGGGATTTCCACCTTCTAGGTTAATTTGACCCAATAATGAGATAATGCAAGCAACACCCAATCATTCATGATTAATACCTCAAATATTATATAAAACACACAATCAACACAACAGAATCAAGTTCTTCCATCCTAACACACATCTAGACTTGGATTCACAATACCCAAGTGAGTAGGAAAACTAATCCATAGCTAGAAAAAGGAAAACTACAAAAAGGAGAGAAAGAACCATGGAGAGATGAGTGTCTTCCTTCCTTCTTGCTTGAATCTCCTTTGAGAAGAACAGATCTTCAATCCTCTAGCTTGAATTGAGCCCAATCTCCTTCTTTTTCCTTTAAATGACATTTTCTCTCTCTAGAATGGGAAGAGGAAACCCTCACCTCTCACTAGAAAACCCTATTTGTTCTGAAAACTAAAACCCTAAAAAAGCTCTCTTTCTTCTCCTTTCAGCTCTCTATTTATACTGAGATCGTGCCCAACTCAAGGCCCTAGTTCACGGTCGTGAACATCAGAACCCGTCCGTGAACTCAGTGAGCTGGATCAAAACGCATCGCTTAACTTTCGGGGTTCACGGTTTGTGGTTCCAGTTCACGGTCTTAGCGATCGTGAACTGCCTTGGCGTCAGTAACCTCAGAAACCCCTCTGGACACTTCGCGATTCACGGTTTGTGGTTCCACTTCACGGTCTTAGCGACCGTGAACTCGCAGCCCAGACCGTGAACTACGGTCGGTTCCTGGACGCCTGCGCTTTTCGACCTTCCAACCGTGACTTTGGACTTTTTTCTCGTTTTTGCGCTTTTCGACCTCCAATCGTCCCAAAACTCGTCCTCGACCCTTCCACATGTGCTAGGACCTGAAATGTATGAAATCAAGCACAACCAAGCATAGAGTAGGTCGAGGGACGGTGATCTACTAAGCATAACGGATAAGAAATGAGAGGTAAAATGTGTACATTTGGACCCGAATCACTGATGTTGACTGGAAAAGGAACCATCAGCGCCTATGGAATCGTGGGAACGAGGAGAATTTAATGGGAGCAAGTCATGGAAATTTTAGAGAAGAATCAGAGTCTGTTTCGATGGATATGGGGTGAGTGTAAAGGGGTTAAATTCTACGTCTTACATATTTCAAGTATTTATCTTACGAGTGTTAAGTATTTTGTGAAGTGGTTGCTATGGTTGTTTATGCTTATGGTTGATGATATGTGCTTTTGTTTGAGCTATGATTGGAAGTGAATGTTTATGATTTATTGTTAAAGTTTAAGAACAAGTCCTTTTTAAGAAGTACTACACCTTCTAAGAAGTTGAAATAGTTTTAAGTGTTTTTAGTCACTAGCGTCATTCCGTAGCCGTTTGAGACTTTTGAGATAGAGCAGCAGTTATGCTCTTGATATTTTAAGATGAGAAGCACATTCCATGGAGCACATGCCTAGGTATGCCAAATACCTCAAGGGCCTTCTTGCCAAGAAACCAAAATTTGAAGACCTCGCCAATGTCACCATAGGCGAGGAGTGCTCTGCCTTCATCCTCAACAAGTTGCCTAAAAAGCAACCGGATCCAGGTAGTTTTACTATACCTCTTTGCATCGGACATCATCATATAGAAAACTCTTTGTCGGACTAAGGAGCAAGCATTAATGTGATGCCTTACAAGCTTTTTAGAAAGTTGCATTTGGATGAATTAAAGACTACTAGGCTTAGTGTCATATTGGTCGATTGCTCTGCCATTAGTCCTATAGGTATTGTGGAGGACATCCAAGTGAGAGTTGGCAAATTCTAGTATCCGCGGATTTTGTTATCTTTGATATTAGTGAAGATTCAGATATGCCACTCAAACTAGGGCGCCCCTTCCTTGCCACCGGCAAGGCTTTAATCAATGTTAATGAGGGAACTCTGATTTTGAGAGATGGAGAGGAGCAACTCACTCTTTCAATTGATCCTAAGGCTAAGAATGATTATGTTAAGGAAATGGACTCGAGTGGTATGATTAGAAGTGGAGGTGAGCCTCTCAAGACGACCCCACTATTACTCTTTTTCCTTGTGGTGACGTGAAACAGGAAATTGAGGAGGGTATCAACCCCGAAGGAAGAAAAAAAGATGATGGAGAGGAAATATGAATCACGCGTATTTCCGAAAGAAGGATAAGGGCACATCGAAGGTTAATGGCCAAGAGGGTCATTCTATGGAGCATAATTTGGGAGGTGACAAACCTCGCCCCGAGACTGTGGCGGATCCTCTCTCGGTGGCTTCGTGCTCTCAAGCATGATAGATCCGCAACGTCGAGCTAGTGACGTTAAACTAGCGCTTGTTGAGAGGCAACCCAACGTCGGTTTGTTTTCTTTTCCTTATTTTTTCTTTTTGTGATTCAATAAAGAATTCAAGTGGATGATTGGATATCACTGTGCCAGCATGTTGAGTCTGTTTGATTGTGTTTTGAGTGTGTTTGAATTAGGGGCATGGTTGATTAGGTCGAGTTTTGAAATTTTGAAAATGCCCTGTTTTTACTCAGTTCACGGTTTTAGCCCCATTGGAACGGTCTTAGCGACCGTGATAATAGGGTGGAGCCCGTGAACAAGGGCGGTTCCAGAAAAATTTGAAACACACCATTATTGCCCAAGACAACGGTCTGGGAGTTATGTTCACGGTTGATAACTCAATATTTGCACACGTTTTTGTCCGCCATTCTTATACTGTTTGAACCTAATTTATGATGTTTTAAACCGATTTCACGCTAGGGTGTTCTTTTTTGTGATATTTTAGGTCCTAGTGCATGAATCAAGGCTTGGGCAAGAGTTTGGGGTCGATTGGACGAAGTTTGGACAGTTGATGGAAAGAAGAGACTGTCACACGGCCTGACCATGTTGTCACACGACCGTGCAACTTGGTCGTGCAACACCCTTTTGCGCGGTCAAGACTGTACAGGTCGTGCATGTGCCCCTTTTGGCCGTATGGGATTTCCCGAGACTTCACACAGGCTGGCCGAATTTCCACAAGGCCGTGCAGTTCTGGTCGTGCAGTGCATTACAAGTCATTAACAGAAAATCGTGTTTTGGCGAGTTGCACGGCCACATAAGGATTCCACACGTCCGTGTGGTCGCTATTTTCTAGGTTTTAACCTAATTTTGGGTCTTTTAGAGGGGGAATCAAATTTTGAGAGCAAAAACTTAGGATTAGAGAGAGAAAGTGCGAAGAACAAACCCTAGGATCAATTCTGGAGTTGTTCATCAATCAAGCTTGGATTTCATCCTTGGAGTGAAGATTATCATCTCAGAGCTTATCGTACACATCATTATGAGTATGATTCCTCTGATTGTTGTTTTCTACTCTTTCTCTATGAAGTAGAACTTTCTCTCACTTGGGTATGAAGAACCCTAGTTCCATGTGTTAGGGATTTGAGTTGTAATGACTTTTGGGATGATATATTGTTTGATTATAATCGATTGAAGTGTGTTTATTGAGTCAATTGAATCCTGATCAACTTCTTTTGATTTCTGCTGCAACCTAAGATAGATAGAATCTAATTAGGTTGTTAGAGCTTCTTCAATTGATAGGAGTGAATTGATTGTACGAGAGTCAGTCAATTCACTGCATTGTACTGGAATTTGGTTCCAGTATTGGAGTTCTTTGTTAATTTCCTTAGCTTTCTATCCTCGTGAAGACTAGTCGTCTGCCGGTTAGCTTGTCTAAGAGGACTTGGTCAGCTTAAGAGATTCCAAGCTACTGTCGGATCTTCTGCAGTTTAATCTACTATAAATCAACCAAAATAAATTACAAATTGGACCTAACTAAAGAGCTATGGGGACTCAATCCCGAGTGACTTTTCCCTAGCTTAAGAACTTCGAACAACTTACTACTTTATTTCTGCTTTAGTTTAAACTCATTTTCACTAAACGTAGTCCCGCTAGATAATAGAAGTTCACAGAGTAGGTAGTAGATCTGGAACCCAGGTTGATAATTGAACTTAACACTATTCTTCATTTCTATTCTACGTTCTGCATTTCTATTGTGTGTTCTGCATTTCCATTATGTGATTACACTTGGTCGCAGTCTGGTGTTGTGTCGTAGCGTGTCAAGTTTTTGGCCCCGTTGCTGGGGACTCTAGGTTATTGTAGAAACGTGAAAGTCTGTTACTTTAGCATTTTCTTTACTGCATTCTCTCTTTTCCACCAGTGTGCCTTCACGGGTTGGGTTTGCTGTCTATGTGTAAGTAGTGCATGACTCGTAGCCAGTCGGGAGATCTACTGCCATTGGACCAGGAGCTTGAACGAACCTGTCACAATTTCAAGAGAGCTTTGAATGCACGACTGGCTGCGGAGGAAGCTCTAGCACATATAAACATCAACCAGGAGGAAGAAATGGGTGAGCCTAATGATGGCGGGGAGCTTGTCCCTGATGAGCATACCATGAGATACTACTGGACCGCTAGGGCCGTAAACATGAGGTCCCCCATCCAACACCCTCAAGCTGCGAACAACAACTTTAGGTGAGCACCTTAGTTATCACCATGCTGAAAGGTTCGATGGTATTCCGTGGGAAGGAAGGCGAGTGCCCTCGCTCGCACTTGAGGCGATTCCACGAGTTGATCGATGGGATCATGATTAATGGGGTCCCTACAGATGCCTTCCAGCTGAGATGCTTCCCCTTTACTTTAGACGGACAGGCAAAGGAGGGGCTAGACACCCGGCCCCCGGGATCGATCATCGCATTCGCCGGCGTGGGCGACAAGTTCCTCACCCGCTATCATCCTCCATCAAAGACAGGGGACCTGCAGAAGGAGATCACCCATTTTGCACAAGAAGAAGATGAGACCATTCGGGATGCATGGGAGAGATACTCCAGTCTCTTCTTGAAGTGTCCAAATCATGGTTTCAACGACGCTTTCAGGGTTGGCACCTTCTACCGAGCTCTCTTCCCTGAAGATAAGCAGTTGATTGACTGGGTATGTGGCGGGAACATGATGACTAAGACGCCACTGTAGTTAAATCAACTCTTTGAGGAGATGGCAGAGCAAGGATATGATTGGGGTACTACTAGGAGGTCGAGGCGAGTACCGGGTCGGGGTGTACATGCTGACACGCTAAAACACAATACCAAACTGCGACCAAGTGTATTCACAGAATGGAAATGCATTATAGTGGAATCAAGTAATAAATATCAACCCAAGGCCTAGATGTACTGCCTACTTCGTGATTATCTATTATATAGCTGGAAAGTTTAGTGAAAATGAGTTTAAACTAAAGCAGAAAGAAAGTAGTAAATTGTCCGGTTTCCTGAAGCAAGAGAAGAGACACTCGGGAATGAGTCCCCCTAGCTCCTTATTTACGTCCAAGTTGTAATTTCCTTTGGTTGATTTACTGTTTATTAAACTGCGGAAGATCCTACAGTAGCTTGGAATCTCTTAAGCTGACCAAGCCCTCTCAACAGACTAACCGGCATGGGACTAGCCTTCACTGGGGTAGACTGCTAAGGCAATACACAGAAAACTCCACTACTGGAAGAAGATTCCATTACAAAGCAGTTAATTGACTGACTCTCGTATGATCAATTCACTCCTATCGACTAAAGAAGCTCTAACAACCTATTCAGATTCTATGTATCACAGGCTGCAGCAGAAATCAAAAGAAGTTGATTAGGATTCAATTGACTCAATAAACACACTTCAATCGATTAAAACCAATCAGTATACCAATCCAAAAGTCATTACAATCAAGATTCCTAACACATGGAACTAGGGTTCTTCATACCCAAGTGAGAGAAAGTTTACTCCATAGAGAGAGAGAGAGAGAGGAAAACAAAAATCAAAGAAGTCATACTCATAAAGATGGGAATAATATGCTTTGGGATGTCAATCTTCACTCCTGGGGATGCAATCTTGGCTTCAATGGTGAGAAATACACTCCAAATAGCTCCTAGGGTTTTGTCCTTCGTACTTTCTCTCTCTAGAACTCTGTTTTTTGCTCAAAAGTCGTCCCCCTCAGAATATGAGCTCATCTCCAATAAAATCCGCACAGGGGTAAAAACACGGCCTCTAAGCCCAAAAACCCGGTCGTGTTTTAACCAGAAGAGGGGGTGTTTCGAAATGATGATTCTGTAAAGTGCAGAGGAAAACCCCGGCCTCTAGCACAAGGCCGTGTTTTTCACAACAGAGGGTGTGTTTGAGGGCGTGTTTGTCAGCAGCCCTGCTGCCCGGCTTTCGCGATCGACCTTCTTTCACCTCCAAATGTCCCGAAACTTGTCCCAAAGCTATATCTACGTACTAGGACCTGAAATATGACAAAAGAACACAACCTAGCGTAAATAGGCCAAGGAACGATCAATCACTGAGCTAAACGATCAAGAAATGAAGGGAAAAACATGTGCAAATGCGGTGCTATCAAATTCCCCAACACTTAACCGTTTGCTTGTCCCCAAGCAAACCAAGTAAGACACAAGGTAAGCTCAAAACATTTTAACCATGCAAACTTTGGGGACATATCATATAGGCACAAAACTCATGAATCATACTAGCTTTTAGGCATCAACACATGAACAACCTCAACGACAACCAAGACAACCACCACAGATGACATTCGAGTGCAACAAAATCTGGTAAAGGAAGAGTCTCCCTTCTGTTCACCAACCAACATAGACTTGAATCAACCACTTATTCAAAACAGTCACCTCATGCATAAAACTCAAGACATCAGAATCAAGACCGAGCAATCTAGGTCCTCACCGGTGTAAAGAATGTAAAGAATATAGGGCAATGAATCGCTCACCCTCGACCAGTGGGCTCAGGACAATTTGATGCAAAAAATGTGCATGCTTATTCTTTCAATCCCTAACGTCTCTTCACCATGATGGCAACCTCTAAATGCTAGAGTTCACATATCGGATGTCCCCACTAACTAGTCAGGAGTTCTTAGACACGGGTTTGGATGACTAGCTAGGGTCTTGGACATGGGGAAAAGGCCTTTTAGGTGGTGGAAGTACTCATAACCCAAGGTTCCACAGTTCCAAACCCAATACAGTTACCATTATTCAAACCATTTACTTTATTTCTGCCATTCTCTATTGATCACGTTCTTTAGAGCACAAGAGTGAAGGAGGTCACAATAATGTTAGTATTTCTAAGCCAGACTGCTAAGAAACACTACTTAATGAGCATGGTTCATATTTTTAGTGGTGGCTCTCTTTTGCTTTCATTCATAATTTTTTTTTCATTTCTTGAGAGAACCACCACCTCTGCACATTTTTACAAACACATGCCCAACTTTTAAGAACTACCTCCAACCCGCATATTATTTCTAGCAAAAACAGCAGAGAACATGCAAAAACCACTCTGTGGAACCTCTAAGAGATGCAAAAAGAGTTATTTTTCATTGTAGACCGAAAGAAAGAAAATTATACGGCTCAAAGGGGCTGACTAGGGGTATGACATCGTGATAGTCAATTTGGTCGTGGGCTAATCCTATGCCTCCATCATCCTAACTAGTGGCAACGTGAATGCTACACATCATGGAAGAGGGATCTATTGCGCACGAAAGAAACGAGCAGGCTCAAATCTCACTTGGCTACCTATATGCTCTATCTCTCATTCTGATTCCCTAACACCTACCCAACTCTAGTTCACATCTCAGTCATCATTATAGGTTGTCCTAGTCACAATCAAGTTGTCATGCATCAATTTTAACAGCCAATTCGATTCACCACATAAACCACAGTGTCCATATGATCATGCAAATAGTAGTACTTGGAGCCCTCAAATCTCAAGATTTGGACAGCGAATAGGCTCCAAGCACACAAACAATAGTACATGGGTCCTTCTGCTTCTGCGGAAGCTTGTTCTGCAGAATGGTCGAGCACTCCTCGCTGAGCTCCACAGTGGACAGCTCGCTCAGCTTTTTCTTCTTAGAGAGGAGATCTTTTAGGAACTTCGCATACTTAGGCATCTAAGATAATGCCTCTAGGAAGGGTACTTGAACATTCAGCTTCCTGAGCATGGATATGAAGTTCCCAAACTTTGTCTCTAGCAGGTCTTTGTGTATTCTGATGGGAAAAGAGAGCTTAGGCTTATATTCAACCACTACTGGGTTGGGCTTTGGGGTCCGAACCTCTGGCTCCGTTTCCTTCACTAGGTCTTCTTCCGGCTCCCGGGTGATCTGTGGCACCTTCTTTGCACTCCTCGGCGGTTCATCCTCAGTCATATTCCCACTTCTCAGCATGATAACATGCAACCCCTCCTTATGATTTTTGAGATTTTGCAGGGGTTGGGAAGGAAGTGTGCCAGCCGGTCTGGAAGCAAGGGCATCTGCCAGGTGCCCGATTTTGGTGTCCATATCCTGTAGGAGTGCCTGCTGGTTCCTCTGGTTAGCTTCAATCTCCATGAATTTGCCTGCAACCACTTCCCTGAATTGCTGAACTTCTGGGTACTAGTGTTGGCCAAGGTGGTCACTAGGTCCCTCAATTCTGACACGAAATTGCCCGGTGCTGGGAATGATGGAGATGCACCCAGCTGCTGGTACTGCTGCTGTGGGGGCTGGTGAAAAGCCTGCTCTTGTCTGGGCTGATAAAATGGTTGTTGTTGCATCTGGCCTGGGCGGGGCTGGTATGGCTGTCTCTGGTTTTGAAAACAAGCTACAGCAGCCGGGAAGCCATGTGGCTTGGGGTTATTGTTGCCAATCCAGGAAAACTTTGGATGCTAGCTCCACCCCTCGTTGTATGTACTACTGTAGGGGTCGTTAAGCCAAGCATTATTAAATAAATTCAGCTGCTCCTACGGTGTGCTCGACTCTCGCATGGCTTGGAAGTCCTCCACCCTGTGATTGGTGCTCTCACACTCCTAGCACTGCATCGCCTGCTGTTGCCCTGTCCCGGAGATCATGCCATTACGATCCATATCTAATACCATCTTCGAGACAACCTGCAACAACTCAGACGACTGGGTGTCAACAGCATGCACACCCCGGCCTAGTGCTCGCCTAAACCTCTGATTCAGGACTAATTACACACATTTTATCCCCGTTTTCCTTGGGCGTTTGTAGCATTTGAAATCCTAAAAGGGTCGTTTTATGTTTGGTTTTGTGCGTTTTAGTGTGTTTCAGGATCCAACAGGTGAAACCAGCCCTAGAGTCGAAAGTTGGACGAAAAGAGGCGAAGCCCAGGCAAAGAGGGTGATCCAGGCGCAGTTCACGGTTTAGCATGGGAGTTCACATTCTACTATCACCGTGAACTTAAGCCCAAAACCGTGAACCGTGATGCGTCCAGGGAGAAATCTGCAGTTACTATCGTGGGACGAGTTCACGGTCAACAAGACCGTGAAGATTGAGGCCAAACCGTGAACTCCTGATGGCGAAGCGGTGCGTTTTGACATCGCGCTCTGTGTGCGTTGAAGAGTTCAAGGCCGTGAACTGAGCCCAATCCTGGTATATAATGTGAGCTGAAAAGAAGATAGAAGGGGAGCCCAAGTGTGATAAAGTGTCTTCTTCTTAAGATTTTAGAGAGAGAAAGGACGAACCAAGAAAGAAAGAAGGCTAGGGTTTGCTCCAAGTGGTGGATTGGGAAGATTTTCCCTAAGAGAAGATCAACACAAGCTCAAAGGAGATTGGAGGCATGCCCATGATGGTTTCTACCACTTCCTCTTGTGTTCTTCCCCTTCCTAGCATGAAGTAGTAATCTTTTTTCAATTGGGTGTTGTGAAACCCTAACTATTTGCCATGTAGTTGTTGTGTGAATTGAATTATTGCTTATGGGTGTTGTTTAATTCAATGATTGAGGTATTTTTCATGTTGATTGTGAATGTTTGTGCTTAGCAATCCAATTGGCCATTCTAACATAGATGAGAGGAAAACCCCCCTTTAAAGGGAGGCTCAATTGAGCTTGGATTCCTTGGGATTTTTAAGCCACTTATCTAGGTTCATGTAGGACAAACCTCTACGTTGAATTAAGCAATTTGGTTAAGCGCAATTAAGCCAACCAACCATTGGGGTGAGTGAGAGAGTAAGTCAACCATCGATTTCCCTAACCAATAGGGCTACTTGAGTAGCCTATAATGTATCCCTTGGTTTGGCAAACGAGAGTGTGGTCTACGACCATAGTTTTGTTTCCTAGCGGTTCGCGGTGACCTTGCCTGTAACAATTAATTCAATTCCTCGTGCCATGGTAGCAGTTAGGGGGGAGCGACACCC